CCCAAGCCTTTTCAACAGGAAATGAAACAAAGACACGTGATCCGATGCACGTGTTAACGAGATATTTCTTGTATGGAATCAGTGACAACAAATATCATGTCCGGGTTTTGACGTAAGTTATTAAATGCAGCGGTACACGTTCCGTAATGGACTTGTAATTTAGTTTTATTGAATTTCTTAGTCCTTTTGTCTTCGTCTTATTTTCAGACAACTTCGCCATTTTTATCATTATATTTGTCCGGTAGAAACCGAAGGTATCATTTATTGGACCAGTTGTCGGGCTTGTTAGTCACAGTACAGGTAACTTGTCATATACACCTGTGCCTTACCTGTTCAGAGTCGTCGACAGCGGAGTAGCGCAGGTGTCATAGGTGTCGCGTGCCGATCACAATAGTCGAACAAAGGACACGCGACCCGCACGCGAAACAGGGGCGGGGCCTAAAGGTGACAGATGCAAGTGATCTGGTTATAATGACCAGCGTAACGGTTACCTGGTGATGGATACACTATATATACTGACCGTCTATTATCTAACGATTATTTCGGATTCGTGTACACTGTTAGTAGACGTAACGCGCACCTGTTGCGGTGTCGCATGGTCCTTTGTGTGACGCGAGACCCACCGTATCACCGATCACACACCGGGACAATAACGGTACACAGTAGTGCTAACGGGCTGTCAAATCCCCACCGACAACAAACGGAGATAAAAAACGCCAGTTTTTGTCCCTGTGATTATGAATGCGTGTGAACTGTGAGAGAGTTCGTAAATACTAACGGTACTGGCTACCAAATGGGAAGGCGTGTGTGATAGGTAAAGCAAATTGAACAGACGCCGTATGGCAATCTGGTTCACAATCACCAAATAACTGTATTGATTACCGTTACGTAAAATATCGATTAGTTTCTAATGTTATTCAGAAGGAAGGCATGAGAGCACAATGAACGAGTTAACCTTCACCAGATCAGGAACAAACGCTAGCCTCAGGTCCACGTACTCCAGACAGAGCCATGAGGCGTCGGTTTGATATGGCAGCGATGTTTCAAACTTTTTCTAAATCAGAGATAATAGCAATAAATCAATATATTGATATCATCTAATTTTACAAAGTCAATATTATAGTATAGGATGACATTATGTTACACTTCCTTAGTGATACCAAACAATTTACTGATATCACAAAATCGATATTCATTTATAAAAAATATTGATATCGACCATTATCTAAAAGTAAAATGCTTCGGTAGAATATCATTAAACGACGAAGTATATTTATAATGGTGTGGCTTTGTCCTTTTTCAACGTGTAACTGGTATCCCAAAGGTTGAAAGGCATACTGAATAAAATAAATTGAATTGAACCACTGAACTCGTTCAAACCAGGGATGAGGTAAAATGGCGTCCCGCAGACAGAGCACTGAAGCGCACTCGGGTAGGGACTAACTCAGTCATTCCATCGCAACTCTGATATAATCCGCTCTGTGCAATTAAGGGGAAATGCTTTGCTCAATTTGATTGGTTTTCATGTAGACTGGGATATTGCTTTCGTGACCGCGAGACACTAGATTTCAATGGACAATGCTTGCGGAACTTTCACATCGCGGAAACGCGTGGCTCCGTGCGTGGCACGTGCTTGATTAATGAATTTCCACTGGAATAGGCATTTACGCTTATCATGCGTATACAAGACGCAAATTACTGGAAGCTCAGATATCACGTGAAAACCTTTCGGATCCTTCTGGATCGATAGCCATCCTTTATCGATTAGGTAATAGAGTCCGATAATAGATATACACCGGGGAGGCGATGCCTGTCCTTAGTAGATAACCCGTAATTACTTCGCGTTCATTCTGTCCAGGTTGATTGGTTCTAATCACCGCTAATAATGGTCCTAGCGATGATCAGCGAGGTATTCACATTGGCTGGTTTTGTTGTATATCTAACAGGCACCTGTCACATTCTGCCATTACTGAGTATTAAACAGACTAAATAAATATTTAGTAATAAAGAATGATGAAGCAACGGTTTTATTGATATTGATCAAACACCAATAAATACTGACGATAACGCGCACTGAAACATGACGTCAATATTAATGTCAGAAAATATGACGAATCCTGAAGAATAACTCGGAGATATTCTAAAGAAACGGAAGTCCCATCTTCATGAAATTTACGAAGAAATTGAAAGACCTTTAGGTAAATCAACAGTTGATTCGTTTATTAACAATTAACTTTCAGTTCCTATACCGACTTAAAATATTTTCCACTGTGGTTCGCATTATTTTTCTAGCTTAGGCTTTGTATTGTCACAAAGGGCTTTGTGTTGCCCCTGTGGTTTTTATCGTCACAAAGCTTTGTATTATCACTATGGTTCGTATTGTCGAAAAGGTTTTGTATCATAGCAAAGGTTTTGCATTGGTTTTGTATTGTTTAGTATTGTCACAAGTATTTTGTATTGTCACAAGTATTTTGCATCGTCACAAATATTTAGTATTGTCACAAATATTTATTATTGTCACAAGTATTTTGTATTGTCACAAATATTTAGTATCGTCACAAGTATTGTGTATTGTCACAAGTATTTTGTATTGTCACAAGTATTTTGTATTGTCACAAGTATTTTGTATTGTCACAAATATTTAGTATTGTCACAAGTATTTTGTATTGTCACAATAGTTTCTATCGTTCAGGTCAGTCAAAGATTCACGTCCACCGTCATGGTATCTTTATTGGTTCCTTAAAAGTTATGTTTTTACTTCTTCTCCTTTGATAATTGATATTGTAATAGAAACCGGCGAAGAAATTAAATGGTAACATCATTAAATAACAGACTTACAGATATAATTCTATACTACAACGCGAGAAGTTCTAAACGGATCTTGTACCAACGATAAAGCAGTTCTATGTATAAGCTTTATCTTTATCAGGTCTATCGCCTTTTCTCTTAATCATTGTTGACAGGCGAATATATGACAACATCAATCAACACAACTAAAACCTAGGGAAACACTCATATCAAGTGTGCGAATTCTTGACAAAAATTGATGACAAAGAAAGGCGAACACTAATTCTCGGTTCCCGCGCTCTCACTTCCGGTTCTCTCTCTCAAATTATAGCTGTCAAAATCCAAAATGGGCTACCTATCAGTCTATCTTTTCCAAAATCAGATTATCGGATATAAAAAATTGAAAATCAAAGGGTAGCAAAAGAGTAAATACGAGAATAATTAATTATCAAAATCAAAGATGGCAACCTGTCCGCAATAAGCAATCGGAACACCTCGCCCCGATCACAGTACCTTCCATGATAATCAGTCAAGGTGTTCCGACAGCGCAATAAGTTACAGACGACGACGGTGTTTTTTTGCATCGATTTTAAAACCAAGCGTTGACAGATTGTATCTTTGAAATTCCAAGATGATATTGTGACAGTCATTTTTCTGTCATTACACCACGGGACCAAAAGGGATTTCACAGATGAAAATCTAAGAACTAATATCCAGAAACGGGTAACAATTTAACGGTTCAAAACTTAAGATGACCGGCTGTCAGCCATAACGTTGAGATTACCATAGCAATAACAAGACTAATACAAGGCGACTTCAGCAGCTCACAACCTCTAAAAAATGTTGTTACAGTTTCTTTTATCAAGAATGACAGATACGACATTCTCTTTAATTAGAAATCATAGAAACCTAGCGGCCTTGTTGGTTACATGAGATGAGCAATATTGAATAAAAAGGTTAAAGAGTAGCTATCAAGTGTCCTGGATAAAATGTGACATTCATGATAGTAAGCCAGTGTCAGTACATATATACCATCAAAACAGTCATCCTGTTCTGATGATAGTAAGCCAGCGTCAGTACATATATACCATCAAAACCGTCATCCTGTTCTAATGATAGTAAGCCAGGGTCAGTACATATATACCATCAAAACCGTCATCCTGTTCTAATGATAGTAAGCCAGGGTCAGTACATATATACCATCAAAACCGTCATCCTGTTCAGTACATATATACCATCAAAACCGTCATCCTGTTCTAATGTCAGTACATATATACCATCAAAACAGTCATCCTGTTCTGATGATAAGCCAAGTACATATATACCATCAAAACCGTCATCCTGTTCTAATGATAGTAAGCCAGGGTCAGTACATATATACCATCAAAACAGTCATCCTGTTCTGATGATAGTAAGCCAGCGTCAGTACATATATACCATCAAAACAGTCATCCTGTTCTAATGATAGTAAGCCAGCGTCAGTACATATATACCATCAAAACAGTCATCCTGTTCTAATGATAGTAAGCCAGGGTCAGTACATATATACCATCAAAACAGTCATCCTGTTCTCTTTATCAGTTATTTCCAATGGGAAATTTTTCTATAAAAGTTATATGGTTAACCTCCACCCTTGGAGAAATGAAAGACCCAATAAAGCACCTATGGCCCCGCCCATCAGCATGCGGGGGTCAGTCAGGATCAATATGAGCACACCATGAAGCGGTCATCCTTTGCCCACAATTCTAAAAAAGTTTGAAATATTTCCAATGGAAATTCAATTCTGCTCAAAGATCTATTTTTTCCTACATAAACTATAGTAAAATTTACCCCTTCCCCACGGAGAATTGCAAGAGCCTGGGGCCATGAAATTCACAATTTTGGTAAGGCATGTTAACAGGCTTCAATCCATGGAGAGCATTTGATTCTAGTATATCTGGGTGATCAGATAAAGATTTTTGAAATGTGAGTAAATTTGACACTGTCCGTTAGAAATCTGTGGGGCGGGAACCGTAAAGTTAACTAGTTTTGTTCATCTTAGGCTAGGGAAGCTTTCTGCAAAATCTCATTGAAATCAGTCAAGGTGTTTCTGAGAAGTGGTCGAAAAATGTAAAATGTTTATGAATGCACAACACATGATGCTGGAGTAAGGAATCGAAATTGGTCATCAGACCTTAAATCCATAAAAAACAAAGCTTTCTTTTAAAGCCTCTCAACCTTTATTTCCAATATACAGTTTGATCCAGTTACAATTGCAAATATTAAAAAAAAAAAAAAAAAAATGAAGCTGCTATCCTCGTATCCACTGTTATAAGGGAAATAACTCTTGACTAACCCTCCTAAGGCAGTGGCTCTTTAGAACTATTCTGTACATTGACAAGTTAACAAAGGAAACTTGACACAAAAATGCTTTTGTGGCAAAGTCACTTGTTTTACTAAAACAATTGCTCAGATCTACAAGGAACAGACATATGAACAATATGAAGAATCAACTTAAAACCCGATTTCAAAACTCTCATCAGGTACCGACACATTGGTGACAAGAACAAAGTAGTAGTATCTGTAGCAGTTTAACTGCTGTTCTGATCAGTCCTGATACCCGAGTAGTAGTAGTATACAGTTCTTATCAGTGTAAACACTGATACAGCTGTCAACAAACAATAACAATGATATAAATACCAGGACCAAATGATGGATAATGCGCCTATGATGATTTTCTGCATCTAACAATTCCCTAGCATGATTTGATCATTTGACTGTTAATTCCAGTTCAATATAACGTATTACCAAATGTTTGATAACTAGATTTAAATGGATGTATGATTGGGCTGGCCATAGTATGCAGTACAAGTAACAGATGATCTTTATCCTTCTTCACCTGAAAATAGAGGAAAAACAAACACATGAAATTTTCAAAAAGATAATCACGGAGTTTCTTGTAGAGTTTTCACAGGAAATTTGTTTTCAAGTCAGAACTTTTACTTCCAATTCAAAGTATAACTAACTGCGAGTTAGATTTTTAGAAAATTTTGTCTTCACAAAATATATATTTGCTGATGAGGAAGAAGGCTCATCAATAACCCATAAGGATTCAATGACAAGCACCACAAAGCTGAAATCAAGAAAGAAAGAACACATGATAGCATCATATCATTTAAATACATGATACCGAAACGTATATTTTGTACTTTATTTTCTTTAAAGAAGTATTTCTACAGCTATTTTAAATCCAACAGAATAAATGCAACTCTTCAAGAAAGGAATTGTGATACTTTATAACTTTGTTAATACTTTTGTTACATTTGATAACATACATCTGCTATTATCAAAGGTGACGAAATGAGTTATAAAATTTGAAACAGAGAAAACTTGAACATTCTAGATATGTTAGGGGTGGATAATGAGGTTACATTTTGTGTCCTTGTGATTATGGCTAGGTCATGTTCCATTTGTCACTTCCATCTCTTCCTCTTCTTCTACAGCATCTCCTTAAAAACAATTAGCAAAAATTACAGACGCAAATATCAACAAAAATCAAACTGGGAGTCTTTTGGGTCTAGTGATCCACATTTAGTTCTATGGTCAAGAATCTTAAATACTCAAAGTAGAAAATAATCTTAATTCTGTCAGACTGAAAATCCCAGCCCATATAAGGAAACATAACACAGCGTTTACAGTTAAACATACTATCCAGATTTGTAAACGAGGCTTGACAACATTTAAATACAACAGTCAGGAAATACTGATCAAAGGAGTTACCACCACAGGAAAGACTGATCAAAGGAGTTACAACCACAGTAAAGACTGATCAAAGGAGTTACCACCAGAGTAAAGAATGATCAAAGGAGTTACCACCACAGTAAAGACTGATCAAAGGAGTTACCACCCACACAAAGACTGATCAAGTGAGTTACCACCCACAGGAAAGACTGATCAAAGGAGTTACCACCCACAGAAAGACTGATCAAAGGAGTTACCACCACAGGAAAGACTGATCAAAGGAGTTACCACCGCAGGAAAGACTGATCAAAGGAGTTACCACCACAGTAAAGACTGATCAAGTGAGTTACCACCCACAGAAAGACTGATCAAGTGAGTTACCACCCACAGAAAGAGTGATCAAGTGAGTTACCACCCACAGAAAGACTGATCAAAGGAGTTACCACCCACAGTAAAGACTGATCAAAGGAGTTACCACCACAGTAAAGACTGATCAAAGGAGTTACCACCTGAGTAAAGAATGATCAAAGGAGTTACCACCCACACAAAGACTGATCAAGTGAGTTACCACCCACAGAAAGACTGATCAAAGGAGTTACCACCACAGTAAAGACTGATCAAGTGAGTTACCACCCACAGAAAGACTGATCAAAGGAGTTACCACCACAGGAAAGACTGATCAAAGGAGTTACCACCCACAGTAAAGACTGATCAAGTGAGTTACCACCCACAGAAAGAGTGATCAAGTGAGTTACCACCCACAGAAAGAGTGATCAAGTGAGTTACCACCCACAGAAAGAGTGATCAAGTGAGTTACCACCCACAGAAAGAGTGATCAAGTGAGTTACCACCCACAGGAAAGACTGATCAAAGGAGTTACCACCACAGTAAAGACTGATCAAAGGAGTTACCACCCACACAAAGACTGATCAAGTGAGTTACCACCCACAGAAAGAGTGATCAGGGAGGGAACATGAAGACATACATTGATCTGTTGTGGTATCTATCACATCCTCAAACAAATTGCAAATGTTCCTACCTCTCAGTCGTTTCAGTTCCCGGCCTGGAATGATGCCAGTCTTCAACATCTGGTTCAGTCTCTCTACCTCATCCAATGTATCTGCTTGTGTAATGGCAGCCTGCAGTACAAAAAGGTAAACTTGTATCATGGACATCATTTTTGTGGCAAAACAACATGGTCTGCACCTGGATGAGATCAAATTAACATGCTATTACCAAGTACATCTAACCTTGTATGAAATCAGGGAAAGTTGTAAATGTCGAAGAATGTGAAGATGTTACCAAAATGTTGGGACTTATTAACTCCGAACATCATCAAAGAGCCATTAAATGAAATTTTATAATTGGTCTACCTATTCTGATTTTCATTATCCAGGGAAAAAGCATCAAAATCTTACACCAGGTTACAAAAAGTAGGTCTTTTTAAGGTTCCAGCACTTGGTGACACTCAACATCTTTGTTCTTCATCCTATGACTGTGGGGATATCCACTTTTTGGTTCAAACACTCTATTCATCATTACTGAATTCACCTGGTAGTTGTAAGGAAGATGCATGTTCTGCACTTCAATAACTCTTCTATCACCACAAGGTACTATCTGTACTAAGACTTTGTTTCAAACTCCACGCGATGATAATGACATGCTATCTTTGGTTTACCTTGATTAGTTCCACATCTTCTTTGGACGGTCCTGTGGGTCCCCGTTTTTCTGCCAGTTTTTCTCCTGCTGTGAATGTCTTGCTCCGTTTGCCAACCTCTTGAGCCAAAGCTTGTCCTTTCTTTCCTTTAAACATCTTTGCTGCTGCTTCACGTTCCTATAAAATTAAAAAAGAAAAGATATTAAAAAGAAAGAATATACCAGTATTTTAATTCATACTTAACATTTGCAAATACTTGAAATGCTATTTTGGAATGTTTGAGAAACAAGATAATATACCCCATTAAATGAAAGGTTGAGAATCTACCTTTTGTTTGATTCTTTGAAAGTCTAGCACCCGTAGCTGTGGCACCTTGTGTATAAGGTAAAGTCTGTACTGTTTCTTTGTGGTAACTGGATTCCTCAGCAAGCTAAAAATAGGAATAATGAAGTTGGTTATGACTTGATATGTCCCTCATTTGATATGATGAATTAATAAATAGAAAATAGAATAAAAATGCAATTGGTATGGACAGGTAAGTGTATCATACTAAGCAATTTGTACAGGTTGAAAATCAGTTTCTCTCAGTGACTATTATGTGCGATTTCATTGAAATGTGTGATTTATCATGTGGATAATGAAAATGGCCAATAATCAATATTTCATAATCAAATTAATCATTTGGGAACATTTTGCAGTTGAAAAGATTGTTTACTTTGTCTAATGTTTATTCACACCAACAAACATAATTTACTACATAGCAAGATGGTTATCTCACTAAGAAACTCTGTCTTTCAGTTCTCCAGGTAGACCAGGCATATTTTACCTCTCAATATACATGGAATATGCCTTACTAATGAAATTGATGCGTATCCATTATGCAGACACATTTTTATTCACTCAGCAATGTTTGATAATGCGTATACCAGATCTGTACTCTGTTCACCACCTTTTCTAACTTTGTATAATCATAGTTATCAAAATGCTTTGTATCAACAATTTCCCTCATCTAAACATGTAAACATTTTAATGATTCTGCATATATGTTTGATAATAATTGATTGATAAATGTGTAACAACCAGTTTAGTCTCATTTTATTCATTAGAAAAAGAAATAACACAGAAGGCAACGGAAAGTGTTTCAAGCTGAAAATCACATATACTTGTAAAGCATGAACAAAGTCATATTTTTACCCCCAGGTTAGAAATGTAAGGGCACTTTCCTCGTTGGTTAAATAATTATCTAGAGTACTGCTCTTTGATGAAATCCATACATGAATTTGACCAGAATGTGACAATTTTCTTTGACAAATGAATATGCATTTTGTTATAGACAACATGACAGTTTTAAGGGTCTGCCATTTTGTTTCTTTTCTCGAATCACATGCAATGTACACCATCCAACATGCGAGCAGTAAATTATGAATTATATCAGGAAATGAAATGATTATCTTTATATTTTTAATATATCTATCAAAAGCAATTGCTCTCACTTTTAAATTAAATCTAGTAATTAATTCACAGTGCTAGTTTTGTAGCATTCTTTTAGGAAAGAGTAATATTCTGTGGTAGTCACTTTAACTTATTGGTATTATGGTATTGACAAAGACGTCAGGTGATCTTCAGGCCTGAAAGGCAATCCAAAGCAAATATTCCATTAAAAATCGCTGTGTAGGGAGTCTGATCTGGTCTAAGAAATTCATGATATTCATGCACATTTTTATCGAAAGTAACAGTAACACTGACCTTCAGTCCTGAAAAGTGACCCCAAGTAAGCTAGTTGTTTGAAACTATGAATATTGACAGACTGATCGGCTCAAAAGAAGCAGAGTATCCTGTTTCAACATATACCTGAGCATCTTTAAAGTTTTGATGGAAGAAAGAGCATCCAGGTCCCCCAGTTCCTGCATGTTGTTGTTGGTCAAGATGATTGACTCTAAATTGGGAAGGCATTCTTCAATATCCTCTGATATTCGCCTGCAAACAATTCAGAATTGGTTCCAAAATAACTTTAAGAATAAATAAAATAAATGTAATAATCATGAACACTATCAGTAACACCAGAAGGTAAAAAGAGTTTCATCAAAATAAAATACAAACATGTGTCATATCATTACAACATCTAAATCGAGTACTCACACAATCCTGTTGTTGTTGAACAGCAAGCATTTCAGACGACGAAGCAGTGGAAATCCATCCAGCTTTCTTATATCATTATCAGAGAAATCTATGGTATCAAACTGATCCTACAAAGAGTAACAAAATTAAACATATCACTTTACATAGTAGCTATTATTGTCGTTCTGAGTCGCTCTCTCAGCTGATACTTTTACTTGTTATTTTTCTTTTTCTTTTCTGGCAGAATTTTACAGTACAAGTATAAATGCTGGTGACCAAGTTTGGTTTGAATTGGTACAGAGATTCTTGAGAAGACATATGCCAACGTCAACAGGTCACCATGAGACTTTTGAGGCACTGACTGATCAGGCGACCTTAAAATCAATACCATTAAGATACCCTAAATTTCACTGGATACATTTCATTCAACTTACCAATGTCGCTCCCAAATTTTCAATCACAGGTATTTTGTAACCTGAAAGTAAGAATATTATCAATGAATAAAAATGTAATGCTCATCTTCTATCGTAAAAAAGTAAGATTTTCATAGTTCTTATAAAACTGCTTTTGATATCACTTTTCGGAAAAAAATTAATATGTCCAAAACCAAAACAATTTGACCATTATAAACATGTATAAGAATCAATCGCATATCTATCATAATTTTTTACAGGAACAGGTTTTATGAGGATGCATTTTTAAAATAAGAGCAATTTAATTCCAAAGAATAGTCTCATTTGAAGTATACAAGTAAGTCACAGTCAAGTGCCGTTTAAAAAGAACCAACCAAACTGAGGTCCTAACTGACATCAATGCTGTCACTAAGATAAGAAGCAGGGATCTTTTGTTCTTAAGACTCAACTGATCACTAGTATTTACAATTACTTGTGTTATATATTCTCACTTAGTAGTAGGCTAGCTTAAATACGTTGTAAGCTACATTTTGCAGACAACAGAGGCAGGGTGTGACTTTTGGCCCCAAATAATTCCACAACTACATGAAATATTTGGGAAATATCCTGATGTTCTTCAATTGATTTACAAATTAGTTGGAAAATCTTTTAAGAAAACAAAGCATAAATGTATCTATATCATAAAAAAAATTGTTACACATTCTCTGATAACTAAAGAAAAAAAGTATTATATAAAATGAAAAAAAAAAAAAAGATTATAAGAGAGCAGCTCCCGGGTGTCCAAATAGGGCTCTTCAATGACTGTGAAATGGTAGAGTTGCCTCCATTCCCATATGTGTCATCAATGATAAACATATGGTCCTTAAACCGGAAAACACATTCAAGCTTTGCTTGATTACAGTAATCGAAAATTTCAGTCACTGATTCAAGAATATATATTTTCCTTCATTTAAAGAATATTTCATGTTTAAATGAAATTTAGTTTACAAATATGTTATTTTGAAATTGTATGTTTTAACTATACAAATACTCTAGTACTTTGAGAGCAATTTATATATATGATTTGGCAGCAGAACTGCATAATCGCTACAACACCGAAATGCAGATACAATTTGCAGAACCACTGTATCTGTATTTATGCCCCATTTCACTATGATTCCTGTGTTTCAGTCTCTATAGAGCTATATCCTTTTTAATATTATATATATATATAAAAGAGAAGAATGGGCAGTAACTCCTCAAATAACCGATGTTTATTTAGATGAAAAATGACTTTTGAAACTTACTTCAGGTGTCTTTAAACAACATCTAAATAAAATGATAGGAACTAATTAAGTGGCTTAATTAAATAATTATATCCAAATATATGGTAATTATCTTCAACTTTCATTTGCCTTTTTGATATTATAAAATGTGAAGAGTGGGCAGTAACTCTTTTAATTTCCCTTATTTCAACAGAAATAACATTTTGATCTTTCAGCTTCATTGTTTTGGGTATAATTTGACTGATCTTTTATATTTTCTGTTTTAAAAAGAATCTTACAATATTTCCAAGATGTTTGAACAGTCAATTATAAAGTGCTGAAAAATCTATAAATCGTTTTCAGCCCAGGAAGCATACTTTTAACCAAAGGCCCTTTTGAACCCTGGCTATGTTCTCCTACTCCTAGTCACAAAAGTCTTTCCCGTATATCATAGATCCCTGGTACTGCCATCTCCTTATGAAAGTACGTTACCATAATATGACTAAAACCAATTGCATAACACTCTGAATTGCATTAATACGTCTAGTCTTCTTTGAGACTTAACAAGAACATTACACGCTAAAATTTGAACACAGGAAGTTACCTCTTAAATCCAATTCGCGGTCTCTGACCGGGTTTGTGTATTGGGCGGATTGTTCTATTAATTCTGCGGTTAATTTCACCATTTTGTCAGTTTATGTATTCTAGTCATATAAGTTGTGTTTGGTTAATCCCATTGGGATAGAGTTATTCCATCACATAAACTTTGAATCTACACGTAACGTAAACGTTTCAATACCCCGGCGTTTTGTTGTGTTCGCGTGGTCTCAACCAATCAGATGCGCATGCGTGAAGGGAAGTCAATGTTGTAACTTAAAAGTAAAACACTTTGCAAGTAAATATCCGTAAATGTGTAATTACATATACGTTTAGAATTCCTTCTGCTGTAAAATCATTTGGATAAAGAGAACTTATATCAATATTTTGTTATACAGTCTGGGATAACGTTCGACAAGTTTTGTTACCCTTTTGGAAGTGAAAAAATGCGAAAAGTAGGCCCAAACACAACTGTAAAAAAACATAGCAAACATTTTAAATATGAAAATATTGCAGAATGAAAAGTCTGCGTATTTTATGACATTTCGTCAAATTAATCAGTTAAAATTCGTTGAAAAATTGTGTCTATATTTTTCATAATTAATTATAGAATCACAACTGCTAGTTTCTCGTACCAATAGGTTAGTCGAATTATCCACTAATTAATTGAAATTAATTAGGAATTAAGGATATCAATTCATTGGTCGTTGTATGATAGAGAGAATCTTGGATGTTTTACTCGTCTGATGCCACTGAAACAGACAATAGCAAGTAGCCATAACAATGACAAGTTATGGTTGCGAAACAATTATAAACATCAGTCTATAATGATTAATCACTAGGCTAATGATAAATTAAGTTTTGACTTAATTAAAAATTGCTGTAAAATCAATGAAGATTTGTATATATTTCGAGTTATGCATAGTCCCCAAAGTTAAGACCAATTAAATATCAAATTTATATTCTTCTAACATTTAAGTGAGATAAAACAATGAGAGATATTTCTATAGGTATTACCGCGGACTATATCCAAGTCCGGGTTAGTTATAAACTCTGATATTTCTAAAATTCTCTTTATAAGTATATTACTTCCAATATTAACTTCAATAGACATTAGCAAAAAGAATGTTTTGTTATTTTTTTTAACAAAGATTAACCTCCCTAACCTATGAGAGAGGACAATAAGAAAATCCATTTCACACAAAGAAGGTATTTCGAATGCACATTGAGTACTGTATCATTCAATAGAACGTATTATACGCCCAGCCCTGCATTTGACTACTATTTTTATTCCGTTTCATTCATAGTTAAAACAATTTTTGAAACGTTGTGAATTTTTTCTAATCACGTTCATATTGTTAGATATTACTTCATTTTAATAATTTCCTGATAATTCTTTACATTTTGGAACGGAAAGAAATTAATCGGTTTTATTCTCTGAACGTTTTCACCGTCACAATTTCATCGGATTAATATCCGGACTCTGATTATTTTATTAGTGCAGCCTCACACGTCAACATCTCACATGACTTAGATCAGCACCATTTTGGATTTCCTGGTTGGAAAGCGGGTATCTGTCAACACACTTTCGATGGTTTCAATGTGATTTGTCATTCTGTCACACCACAGATGGCGTTGAAGAAAGTTAAAGGGACACTCGAAAGAGTGCTTGACAAAAATCTTCAAGATTTGGTCCGTGGAATAAGAAATCATAAGGATTCAGAGGTGGGCATAATGATCAAATCAATATCACGGCGAAGCTTTGCACAGGAAATATTGTGTACAGTAGTTCAGATAAGGAGTGTATTTCATTATCTCTCGTGAATTCGAGGGGCGTATTTTGTCGAGATCCGGAATATTATTTGTTTGTTAAATATGTTAACATAGAACATTTACGTTGTTTTCAAATATGATATAGAACAACACATGTCATTGTGACCAAACTGATGTGCCGGTTTACATGTCAACGTCAGCGACAAAAAACAAATGCATGCAAATTGTTTATCAGTCATCACGTACTAAACAGTCAACAAAAACATATTGACTAGGTGACAGTGTCAATAACTATACCAATTGATAAATCATTTGGTGGATTATGAATTATATGTGATAAAACAGAGGGGTTTCATTGAATTGGTCAACCATGAACTGATTCTGACAACCACATCCTCATTATTATTGACACATAATTCATATCTGCTTGTGCAACCAATGACATATATTTGAATACAATTTTCTGTGATAGGCGGTATGGTTGAAAGTCCCTAGTGTTCGTGAGGGCAGAACATCTGTGGATTTAAAATCTTCTAGTGTTGTTAATGGCTTGTAGGGAGGAGGGGGTTGAATGAAACAATGCATGGTAAAACCAAACCAATGATTAAAAGATTGGTTAACATAATCAAATAGCTTCCAGTTCAATGTTATCCTGATGTAATTGTAGTAAGAAGACATTTATTCTATGCATTTTCCAAAGTTTCTCCAGATATTAGTGGCAAATTCTCCTTTTAACAAACACCAAGGAGGATGTCATCCAAAAAACAATGTATATGTAATTTCATTGTCTTACTAGTCTTTTTGTGATATCTTAAAACCAGATTTCATTGTTCAGCAAAGGAAGTGCAGGGCTTGGCTAAAGCAGAAAAGTTCTCGCTAGGGTCAAGATTCAGGTGGTAAATTTACATCAAAGTGACCTCTGCCATTTGCAAACTTAAGTAAAGAAATGAATAGCAACCTGAAAAAATCTTAAAAGATTTCAATGAGTTTTCAGTGGGGATGTGCAACATTACTGGTATACCATATTATCATGGTGCAGCAGGAAAAATGCAGTGTACTGTTATGGAAAATACAACATAACATATAGTACATACATTTCATTTGCTTTCATTTATAATCTGAAGAAAGGTTATTAAATTGAAAATAGAAAACAATTAGTAGGGATGACGTATTGTAATTCTGCAGTGAGCTCAAATTTTTCAACCAAGCAGTTGTCGTTAATCAAGCATTCACGTGATCATAATCAAACTTCACAAATACTGACATGACACCTTCAAACAACATGATTGCACCATTGACAAAGAATTGGGGATAATGATTAAATTAGTCAGACTGCTCAGCAAATTCTTGTGGCATGATAACTTCATCCTTGTATTAATAAGACCTCTTGTGAGTTTGAAAATGTGAACAATCTGATTTATTTTACTGCATTTTAACCCTTGTTGAACATATTTTAATGAAACTTGCATCCTTATATCAAAAAGATCTTAGAAAAGTTTAACATTGAAATGGATTTGATTACATTTACCAGAGTTCTGGCCCTTTGTAGCTTTATTAGCATTAGGCCTTGTGGACATAATAATGTGAGTAATTATGAACAGATTTTGATAAATCTTGGTCCATGGACTTTATCAGTTAGTTCTGTGATACATTTTACAACGACTCTAATTGTTAGAGTCATTGCCGTATTTTGTAGTTTTATTAGTTTGGACCTATATATCTATAACATTTCAGAGATTGACAATAAAACTAATTCAAATGTAACCAACAGAGTTTTAGCCATTTTAAATTTTTTCTCATTGGACCATGTGAAGACAATAATTTGAGTAAATATCAGAAAACAGCTTTAAATGAAACTTTGTTTGCAGCCTTATATCTGTAAAATCTCAGTTTAGTTTGACAATGGGACCAATTCACTTCTGGCTCACAGAGTTATGACCTTTTGCACTTCTATTACCATTTTCCCTTGTGAATATGATTTTCAGTAAATATGATTACATTTTGATGAAACTAAGTATGCAGCCATATATCCATTTGGTTGCTGTTTGCAAAGTAGTAGCCCTTTGCAGCTTTACCTTGGAATTTGTAAACACGATAACTTTGTGAGCATGATAACTTGTTGTTATTAATTCAGATTGACAAAGAAATATAGCTCTCGCATCTAAACTCCTCATTGCTGAAAATTTTGTTCCTTTAATGAGCAGAATATTTCATGTTACATATTCTCGTCTGGTAATAGTTCCGTGCTGTAGCGTGACTTAAAATTTTTCAAGTAAGTACTTTATATATATATAGTTATCTTTTTCAAAATGCAAGTAAAATATACTCTGTTTTCTATTAACAAAATTTAGAATGTTAACAAAATTAAGCAGTTACATGGTTCAGAGATTTGTCAATGAGTAATTATAACCAGACAGAAAAATTGGCCTGTTAGACCCAAGTAGTTGATAACAATGAGACAGCAAAACTTTTCACAACAAAGAAGGAAAAAGATCCAGTAATTAAAGTACAAATGAAGGACAAACCATGGTTGGCACCAAGATCTCTCTAGAATCTCTTATTTGAAAGTCATCTTTATTGATGAAATGTTATGACTAAGTGTGACAACTTTTTCAACTTGTTCCCAATAACAGTAAATGTAATTATTGTAACTTTTTTTTTCTATTACAGCCTAGCAAAACTGCTAATAGATAAAAAAAAAGAAAGAAAAAGAAACATACTATTAAAGCAAATTGAATAATAGATAATTTTAAATGAAACTGGATATCAATTGTTATAACAGATATGAATGGTCTGTGTTAAAGAAGTAAGAATACTACTGTGTCATCTGTATTGTATGTGAATTCTTTTGTTGATAAACCTGATATTACTATAAGTAATTAGTCACAGTCTTTGCTATATCTTATTGTGTATAACATGCATGATTTGTGCCCAATATAGACAAGAGTACATGGTTTAGGTATATCATATAAACATGCTGCGTTTCCATACTTTCTTTGTATTTATGGGCACTTAAGGATTTCTCTGTAGATAATTAATTTGTATGCATACATAAATTTACTGCCACAAGCATAGTCCCATATGATTCACAAATGTATACACATTTATACATATGAAAAGGAGAGGATTATATATCAAGTGCCATAGTATATTTGTACCAAGGGGAGACAACAATAACCCGAAGAGTTGTAGTGTATTTGTACCAAGGGGAGATAACAACAACCAGCAATGTTGTACATGTATTGGATTTGTACCAAGGGTAGACAGTAATGATCAGCAGTGATGTAGTATATAGATTTTTTGAATATGGTTATTTGCTTTGTAGTAAAATTGCATTGATACAATTTGATAAACTGTAAATTTGGATCTTGGTACCTAATCATAGTAATAACATGGACATCTGAATGACCAATTATTAAAGCTCTCTGGTGATGTATTAAACAATATGAAATGTACATTTGGTCACATGTTATTTAGGTATTGATTACGATCAGAACAACACTAGAACATACATGAACATGATGGATGTAATGGATGGGTGACTTTACAGTGATGTATTGATTGTCGTGTAAAATTGGTGTATTTTATTATTGAGTGGAGGTCAGAATAATGACAATGTGCAACCACCCTATTATTGATGCTGACAGCTGTGTATACTGGTTGTGATAATCAATTCACAGATCAGAACTATTGATGCTGTAGGTAGATCTATGTAGATAAACACATAAAACTGAAATCAAAGATGTACAATATCTTAGAGAAGAAATAATTTCATTTGCTAAAGTTCTGGTCACTACTTTGTCGTGGACATGTTCACATTCTCATACACTTTTGACAAGTGTTGTCGAGAAGTGATTTGAAATATTTTCTCAGAGACCTATAGAGTACAAGTGTTAAGTTTCCTTTGTACAGGACACTTTAACGATGAGATTGTTTCATTTTTAGTTCACCTGCCAAAAGAGTAAATTTGTGAGCTCAGTCCATCATCCATCTGTCATCTGTCTGTTCAGCATCAACTTTTCTCTTACAAAATTTTGAATAGCTAATCCAAATGACCCAGGTACTGATATTAGGTCTGTAGCATACTGGGTTGAATAGCTACCAAGTTTGTTCAGGTTATTGACCTTGACCCACTTTCAAGGTCACAGGAGTTAAATATGATAAGAACTTATGTCCTGGGTGATGATATTTTTGTAGTAGTATGCTTCTGGAATATGTTTTCATCTTTGCAGAAATTTCTATGCAAAATGACCATTTTCTGTATAAGCTGCAGAACAAGTGAATGATTCAGAGTAATATAGGTCCTGTTGTTCAGATTTGAAGAGCTTTTGTATAGGACCTGTGGAAGTTGGAATCAATTTATAATTACCTGTTTGAGATTTATCACATTACATGTGTATCGCCCCAAACCTGAGTCTGTAACTGACTGATAGCTGGCTTGTAAAATCAACATTGATCCAGTTCTGTGAAAACAGGCAATGGTGTTAGTTGAATTATTGCCTACTGGTATGTTGTTTTTTCATTAACATTTTTTTTTGCCAGAATTCAGGAAAATGATTACTGTAACTTCATTAAGCCTGTTATTGGGTTTTTACTTATGTGAACTGTTCTACTTTTACCGAGAATAACTGTTCATGTCAAAAGTTTTATCGTTGACTAATGGGCCTTTCTCTGCTGGACAATAAAATTAAGTGATAGGCCATCAGTAGACTACAAAGTAATTCACTATTTCTAGTAGCTGTGATTTAGATACTACTCTAAGTGGTACTACCATTACCTGTGTATATATATATCTGTGGTAGGAGTGAAATAAAAATGTTGAAATTGTATTCTGAGTAAGGTTTATAGATATCAGGGTTTTTTTCAGAGATTTCTGACATTTTTGCCTCATTTCTGAAAGAAAATTGGTGGAAATTGTAAATTTGGGAATTTGGCTTCAATATTAAATAATT